TGTGTGTGTGTGTGTACCCCCTCCTTGCCAAAAAAACAATAGAAACATTTTGAATGTTAAGTTTTGAGTTTGAATAAGAAAAGCACATTGGCCCATTAACGCTCGTTTCCTGTAAGGAGAGAAAAAGACAGACAGACAGACAGACAGACAGACAGACAGACAGACAGACAGACAGACAGACAGACAGACAGACAGACAGAGAGTAAGAAAAGAAATAGCATACGTTAGTAAAACACAAAAGTGATAAGAGAAACAATGACAACGAGAACAAAAACATCGAAATGAACCCCAACTACAAATTCTTTTTTTTTTAAACAGCAACTACAACAGCAGCAACAGCAACAAGACTTATACCACTCCTATGTTTACACTTTGGACTTTGTGTAATTCTACGAACGTCACTATATGGCTCTTTTCGTCTATGCAGACGGTCAATTTAGCTTAAGATAGTCTCAAGGTTGTCTTCATGCAGCTTCTTTCATGGCTAATTTTTCCTATGTGCACTAACACTATCAATAACAACAATAACAACAATGCCGAATTAGAGGGTGACAAATTTAACTACACACCGTAAATAAATTATGAAAACCGCAATAACAGCAATGGCAAGGTCAGCGACAATGTCAGCAGCTTTTTATTTGAGTTTTGCTTGGGAACAGAGAGTTGTACACAGACTCAACGACAGTTTAGTTGAATGGGAAAAGTCGGACAGACAGGCGGAAGCAATGGAGAAAAAGAACAAAAGTTTAGGGCCTTATAAGAACGGAGCTGTATGTATAGTATAAGGTTTTACGGCGCTCGCAACTGCTAGCTCTCCAACCACACGCATAACAATGGCAAAGAGCAACATCAACAACAAGAAAAACAGCAACAACAAACGCAACAATAATAACAACACCTACAGCGCCACTACAACCACCACCAACAACAGCAGCAGCAGCAGCAGCAACAACAGCAATAACAACAACAACAACAGCATCAACAACAACAACAATAACAGCAGCAAACACAACAAAAACAAAACTGAAATAGCTGTTCGAAACAACAACAAACATAAACACGACTACAACTGCAACATTATCATCATCATCATCAACAACAACAACAACAACAACAACAACAACAACAACAACAACAACAACAACAACAACCGCAAGAACAGTGCATGACGCTAGAACTGACAGATCCCATCACCTGATGGTAGCAGAGAGCATCAAGTCCACCACGCCATCCACAGGCTTCATAGACACAGCCAGGGCTAGCAGAGCGGCCACTGTAGGACCCCATTTGATCACTGGCACTGGCGTATCACGCACATTGTGGACTATTTTCCTCACTATGCTGAAAAATAGTTTTAATTAAAAATTCTTTTAAAATTTAGTCGAAATTGTACAAGACGGCCACACATTGTCGAGGGCATGGAGAGGAAAATTAATACTGTCGAAATTGTCCAAGAAGCCCAGCCATTTTCGAGGAGAAAAGTGTTTGTCTTGACGGGTGAAGTATTTGGACAGTGTCGTTATTATTATGAATAGAGAAAAAAAATCAAGAAGGGGAGGGGGGTGCGTGGAAAGTTCTTTGGTACATGTGATAGTATAGGTGGTCATAAAAGCAGATTCGACTGCAATTAGTCCTTTAAAAATCCCGTAACACGATGGAGTTCAGACTGTTTTAAAGATTTCGGCATCCTCCCC